ACTTTAGACGTGAAATTCTGAAGAGTGATTCTGAAGAATGAGATAAAAATAGTTGAACTGCAGCTCACATTTCTTAATACCAGCACAAAACACCTTCAGGCATTTAGGCATTATAACAAATGTATTTAGGAAAGAGCATAATGTAGCAAAGTTCATATGCCTTTTCATTATGAATGTATAATCCCAAATTACATTCGTGTTTCAACTGCTCTGATTTCCAGAAACCTGCAGGCTCTAGAGTCAAGCTAGATAAATACCTGTGTGATTTTTGCCCTACATTTCCACCTCAAAACTAATTAGCAGGTCTTCAGAAACGTGACTTGAACTGGATCTGTTTAATCAGAGTTTTCCATGATAAATCCTCCCTTGCAAACTAATTTCTACCAACAGCAAATGTCACAAAGACCTCCTCAGTGTGAATCTCACTGCAATAAGAACGGGCCTCTGGCAGCAAACAGTTCAGCAGGAAGGAGCATGGACATACTGCCATATGCTACTCCAGAATGAGTGGGATCACAGCTGGGGAAGAACCAGCTGGCCTTCTACACCAATATAGCCACTCGGGCCACACCGGGCCAGCATCCAGTGCAATGCACTGCCCCAGTGACAGCTCACATTTCACAGACCCAGCACTGGAGCCAATCCCTCTCCTCAGAACTCAGCAAATAGTTTTGGTACCTTACAATATGCAGTGTCAATTAAAATGTTCACCAGGTTTGACTCCACCATTCTAAGTTTTCATGGACAGCTAATTCCCAGATCCACTGGTATAATGCTTATTCAACCATGTTACCAAATAAGCCATCCTTATGCACAGGTTGGCATTGACCTGCAAACCTCTCAACTTCCTTCTTTGCCTCTCAAATGGTGTTTGCCTGCCTATGACTAGAAGCAATCTCAATAGGTTACCTCTTCTCTGCAAAATCCTGCTGGTAATACATAGCTTTTTGTTGCCTAAACTCAATGACAGAGGAAGATTTTGGATATCTATGGAAGATCCATGCCATTCACCTGTTAGACACAAAAAGGACACACCAGTGGATAGGTGGAGTCTTGGAAACATGGCTGGACCCAAATACACAAGTTCTCTGCCCTCTCATCAACTTTCCACCATTGTTACTCTGCATTTTAAAACCAACTCATGTTCTCTGTGTTTCCAATATAAAGTAATTTAAAGTGCTCCCCCAATTCTAGAGTAAGGCTAGTAGGTTTGGCCACACAGGACTTTATGGTTTTATTGTGAATGAGTCTCCCAGTTATGGGATAAACCTCCTATATAGAAGACCAGTTGTAACCTCACACCCCGAAGTCTATGTCGAAGAGGAAATAACCCACTGTGTTCTTATAAGTAAACACTAAAACTGTTTTCTAAGATGTCTACATGAGGCTTTACACAGGACAAACACAGGATGTTTGTATGTGACAGGCAACTTGCTCCTCTCATCCACTTTTTAAGTCCTTTTGGGATTTAAGAAATGTGTTCAAATCTACCACATCAGAAAGTGCAGCCATTTGCAACACATTTGCCAGATCAGTACCTTCCAAGTCAGCATGTATTTGTTCTTGAAAATATAATCCAGCAAATAAGTTAAGTACCAATTAAGGAGCTTTCTTTGGCTACAATGGAAACACAATGCAAATGCTGAGATTTTTCTATCTAGGCAAGGGAAGGAAAAGCTGGTTTTACAACTATACCTTTTTTCCCCTTAAAAGTATGTAATTGCACTCTCAGAGTGAAAAGATTAGTTGCCTTCAACAGATTCTCAGGGAAAAAAATCCTATTATTTCCTTCCTATGAAGGAGGAGTAACATCTTCCCGTAATTACAGGAAGCTGTGCATTAAGTTGCCAGCTCAGGAAGAGCCATTTCCTAATAAGATGCAAACTTAATTCACTCTCAGTGAGTCAGAGATAAAGAATAAGTTCTCAGCCTAATGCCTGCCTTTACCTGCAGTCCTTCAGGTCATACCCCCTCAATAAGAGGCACAAAAGAACAAGCCACTAATTAAGAAAAGCCCCCTCAAGGCTTTCTCCTGGTCTCTGTTCAGAGTGCACGAGGCCTATTTACTTTACCAGATCTGAGGCAAAGGCCAAAGTGACAGCAATGTGTACAGGCACTCGCAGAACAGAAAAGCAACTGCCCCTATTCTTTTTTTTTCTTTTTTTGGGTCCAGTCATGGGGCCTGAACGCTGGGCCTGGGCGCTGTCCCTCAGCTCTTCAGCTCAAGGCTAGCACTCTACTACCTGAGCCATAGCACCACTTCCAGCTTTTTTCTTTTCGCTTATGTGGTGCTGAGGAATCAAACCCAGGGCCTCATGCATGCAAGGCAAGCGCTCTACCACTGAGCCACCTTCCCAGCCCCTATTCTTGTAGACACTTTCTGGCATCTATTGGTGCCATCAAGGACTTGTGCCTCCTCTTTTATCAGTGACCACATGGCAGGCTGACCCTTAGCCAACAATATGTCTACAGAGGTCTGCCTCCTCTCCCATCACTGTCTACACAGTCACCACTCACAGAACAACACTCTCCACCACAAATGGTATGCTGTCACAGTTTCTTAGTGCCATTCACAGATGTAAACCACCACAGAATTGAGGAGGAGTCTGAGAAATGTTCCAGTCCAAAACCCTCATTTTTCAGAATGGTAGTACTGGACAGTTGTTACAGGTACAAAGTTTTGCCTCCATTAGCAGATTCTGACTCCTTTCTTCCTAGACATATAATACTTCATTGGATATTTATGTTTTGGCATAAACACCAAAAAGACATTGGCCAAAGATCTGACTCTTTCTTTCTTTTTCTATGATTTATATAGATGCAAAGTATTCACCTTTAAATATTTTCTGCAAAACAAAGATAGTTTTGAGTTCAAATATCATTATTACCAGGAGGTTGGTCATTGTCTGAGACCAAATACTTTCTCTTATAATCATCAAAGGTTTCAAAAGAGACCCTTGAAATTCTTGGTTTTATAAAATTGGAAGAAGGAGAGAAGACAGGGTGTAAGAAAGTACAATCAGATCAGGGAGAAAAAGACTGAACGATGAGGACTCACAGCTTAGTGTTAGCTCAGAAGTAAACTGATTTCTTGCCTGACATGGCAAGAATGGGCCTCCTCTCCAGCTGGAGGCAGGCCAGCCTGGGGAGGGGCAGCAGGCCTGAGCAGGGGTGGTTGTGACCCTGCCATCTCTCCCATTGGGGATAATGAGTCTCCTCATGAATCTCACACAGAAAGGCATGAATTAAGGGCTACAAATAGCAAAGGACCATCATCTTTCCTCTCTTTCCAACTTCTTGTCTCTCTCTAAAAAGAAAGGAACTGCATGCAAATTCAATTGCTTTCAAACTCTGCAGCTTTGCATTCACCCTCCAAAGTGGGCAGTTATACCAGATTCTTCTTGTGAGTTTAATAGGCCATTCCTACAATGAAAGCTACTATGTTGGGCCAAAATTAAAATACTTGTAGTTCCCACCATTCTTGACCATTTCTTAATCTTTATCTCAAAAACAAGGGAAAGAAATATGGGAAACAGAATAAGCTCTGGAGAAAAAGAGATGAGGGTTCAAATCTGGCTCTATCCCTCACTGCTAGGTGGTCTCAGATGTACCACTTTATCTCTTGGAGTCCCTGTTTCCACATGTGCAGCTACATGGTAATTACCTACTAGGCAGGGTTACTGTCTGAATTACAGGTTGTACTGTACCAACTTTACAGAATGACAGTGGCATAATTGCCGTAGCCTGTATAAATGTTAATAACACCACCGTGACATTAATCTGCTGCTTTGGGATACATGTACACTTGGGAAACACAGCCTGGGGGAGTCAGATTTGATGATGCTGTGCTAGAAGCTGGCTTAGTCTGTGCTATACCCTGCACCCCATGTTTCTTCAAAGGAATCTCCTCATTACCTATCAAAGAGGCCAGACACCAAACTGCACATTATAACTTCTTGGAGCTTTTGACCTTGCAATCTTTTAACTAAAACTCACCACCCCAAACAGACGCATGGTGCTCCTAAGAATGATTTCCACACTAGCTTGGCCATTGTCAACAGAAGCCTTCCTAAGCTCCAAACCTCATTAGATCATAGAGAGGGGTAGGAATCTGAGCTTAGTGAAGTGTATAAGACTCTACCATCTGTAAGGATTTGTATGATCTCAGATTTTGCCCTCTGTACAGAAACATTTGCAAACTAGAAATTACCTGTTCAGCTTCTAATTAGCAACACCTGCTCTGGGAGCATTAATCCCTTTCTCTGCTTCAGTAAGTGATAGTCAAGCCCACCCAGTGGTCTCAGCAAAAACAAACAGAACACTCCCAGGATCCAGGTAACTATGCAGTCACAGAATCCTTCAGATTTATGCAGAAAAAAAAACACCACAGAAATCTTTTTTTCCTTAGTATTAATCATCTCATGAGGGTATCAACACCAAGAGCTGTATTTGCTTGTGGATACCTGACACCTAACTACCTATGAGTCTCAAAGCCATTCTACCACACTTGTCCTCATCTGGCACAGCACAAAGTCAGTCTTGAAAGATGGGATATGGAGAAAAAAGAAGGTGAAGGAGAGGCAAATTCACTCCTTCACTCTGCTCTCCACATGGTACCACTCCTGAGACTCCTGAAAAATGTCAGCTGTACTCGCAGAACTGCTCATTGCCAATTTAGCTCCTCACAATCATGAGGTGTCCTAATTTTGAAGAGCTCTCCCCACCAGCCATTCCAACTTGGCAATCCTCAAGAGTCCAGCCTGCTCCACCTGCCAGGAGCACATGCGACATGCACTACTGCACAGAGGATGTCCTACAGGAAAGGGGCAGTGCTGAAATTTCACCTGCTAAGGAAAAACTCTGAGTGTGGGACTGCACTCTCTTGAAAGAGGAACAGGACTCTGCAGAGCAGCCACCCAGTGTCCCCATGGGGCTGAGAGAGCCACAAAGAAGCAGGCAGCTAGCAGGCCATAGAAAGAAACATGGTCCAGCTCACTCACCTGTCTGAGTCCCTTAGGCATCTTCTTTCTCTTCCCAAGGTGCTGGCAGAGGTTGCGGTCATTTTCTCGATCGGAACTATAGTGGTGTGGGTGGCTGAGTCTGCTCTTCTTTGAATGAAAGGACAAACCGTTGGTAAGTGCTTCTCGTTTCTTCTTGGTCAGGGGAGTCTGACGTTTCTCCACACGTTCCTGAGGCTTAAGTGCTACATCTTTCTGTAAGAAAGAGAGAAGGAAAGGTAAGTGGTGGTTATAAAAGGCATTTACAATCACATCCAAAAGACAGGCTGAATAGAGTTACTAGAAAGGATAGGAAAATGGGATACAATGTGTAAAACTTAGAATTATGGTTCTCACTCTCTTTCTGATTCCCCAATGCCACCACAAATGTGTCTTATTGGGCAGCAAACTCAACAGAGCACCAAGCACCACTCCATTACAAGTGGCTTTCCTGGTGCTTAGGACGACAGCTTTCTGTCTGATTCTGTACTTGGCACAAAGGCTTTCTCTCTGATTCTGTGCCAGGGTTGTCACACAATGGCATTCCCAGAGGACACGCAAAACACTTTCGAAGGTGGTCTATGAATTATTATAGTTTCCAAAAAAGAGTGCTAAGTGCTGCATGCACTTCCATAGCAATTGCACAGAAGGGCACACAGCAGAGAGGACAGAAAGGAAGCAGCTGCTAGTTCCTATGGTCACCACACTTCCTGAGGGCACCACATCTTTACAACAGGCTCCTCAGAGCATCTCTCATCTCCATCATACTGTCACTAAAACCAACAGCAGCAACTTGTCCCTTGAGGAGGAGGAGGGTAATCAATGTCCTACATTGGTAAGGGGCCAGAGTCTCAGGCCACAGGACCTGGTAGAGTTCTGGTAGGGTTCCTACAGGAAGATCAGGCCTGAGCCTCTGATACCTCAAGGCCTGGACTCAGTCCATGTGTGGCATTAGTTATGTCATAGACCAAGTCCTTGCACTAGGAGGTCAATTGTGAATGAGTTCACAGAACATCAAGTGGCTTGATGGGTGTCACTTGAATTCTGAGAAATGCTGCACACACCGAACACTACACAGAAATAAGATGGCACTGAACTATTTATAAAGGAGTGAATACAATCCTGGCACAAAGCAAAGCTTCTTCCTGGAGCCTCCTTCCCACAGTTTGTCTAGTTCTAATTAGTTTCTCTAGTCTTAATGGCATGTTTCAAACCAGAAATCCCCTTTTCCTCTATTCCCTTCCTCACAACCTCTAACAAAGTGAAGCAAGCTAGAAAAGCGCGTAGTGGCAGACAATTCAGGAACCTAGTAGGCCCTGCTGCACATCAGCAGGATCACAGGAAGGAGCTGAAGTCCCCAGAAAAGAGCAAAGGTCTTGAGAAGAAGGTATTAGAGATATAGACCTTCCTGGAAGACAAATGCACGATTGTAGGTCTGACTTCCAGCTGCCACTACTGCAGATGGCTTGTCCTCTGCCACCTGACAAACAAAGATGTGCTGAGAGGTGTTGTAGGGGACAAGCTGAGATCGAGTTAAGTCAATGGCCATTGATTGCACAGCCCTAGACCTTGCTCAACATGCCAAACTCATGGAACATGTTCAATAAACATCTGTGGAATTGAATTCCTTTGTCCACTGCCCACAAACTCAGCTGGTAGTCAGGCATCTGCTCAGCTCAGAAAGCTTCTCTGCTTAGTCTCACATTTCACCAACTTGGTCAGCTACCAGGGGAAAACATTCAGGAATGATGGCCATGCTAGCAGGAGGCAGGTGGGCTCAGGTGCAAGGGGATTGAATTGTACTGCTTCTGAGGGTCACCCTCACTATCCACAGGGTTAGAAACCCCTTCGTTTGTCAAACAGTCCAACCACTGCCCTGCATCACATTCATGGAGAGGATCCGATTAATAAACAAATGATATTTAATAATGTATCAGCTGGGCTTTGGAGGAAAATTATATCTTTCTCTTTGGAGCCCAAATCTTCTTTCATACTGAAGGTGCCTCCAGAAACTGATGTGCAATTCCATACAAATGTGAATTAATATTTATGAGAGTATGTTATAATTTTTCCAAATCCATTTTATTTTCATGCAGCATATTAATCAGGCATTCTCCGGCACTGCAGAATAGCTACACAGAGCAAATGGACCCCATGCCATGACATTAGCTGGCAGGAGACCTCTCAAGCTCTGTCCCCAACAGTCATCTCAGCTCCAATTAGCACTGAGGTTTCCACTCTGGAGGGGGTCAGAACATGTGCAGGGGTGCAAGAAAAGAAGAACCTTCTTAAAGTTTTCACATTTGTGTTTCTAAAGAGTAGAGTTCACCTTAATTTTTTAAAAGATAAACCTTTATTGTTAAATTAGACCCTGTGGTACAAATCCTAAAACTAGGCCACTGCCTATGGACATTAATTGGCTGCTTACTATGTATAAAGTAAAATAAATCAGTTAACTTTTCAATGAACAAAAAAAATACCAAAAACAGCTCAATATAAGCAATGTAAATCAAAGGCAAAAAGACTGACTATAAGCTAAATCAGCTTATCAGCATCCAGAGAAACTGCATAATGATTACATTCCTGGGTGTGTATTCACCAACCTACCACCAACCAAGTGGCCACCAGTGTAAGAATTAAAGAAACCAAGCCACTCTCTACAGTTCTGCTACAATATGTGGAGGAAAACAAATAACTTTGGGGGATCAATGAACAGCAGTGTTCAAAGGCCTGTTGATTCATTACTCCACTATGATCTAGCTTAGTGGTTGCCAAGGGAAACTGTCCATCAGAGCAACTTGCAGGCTTTTATAAAATGACTAAATCCCACATTGTGCAAGGGAGGCACTTAGCAAATGAATGAGGGCTGGCAGAATTCTCCACTGGAAAATATGCCACTTGGCATAAGGATTATTTTAAGCTAAAGGCACTTGAAAAACAGTAGATACAAGAGAGGTACTCTGCCCTCTGCACCAGGAAGAGAGGAGAGGAAGAAAGAAGAAGAGAGCCAGAGAACTCTGGAATGAAATACCACATGCCTGCCTGTGGCAGAAGAGAAGAAATGTTGTTACTTAGCAGAGATATCCAGAAAAAAAAAAAGCCTATGAATGACAGCTATGAATGGTCTTGTTAAAATAACACCTATCCTCCTTCAGCCACCCAATATATTTCACCTTTCCACAGTTACTACTAAGTTCTGTTCAGCCTACTAAAGAACCATTTCGGTTTGACTTTTTTTTTAAAGAGAGGGTCCTTCTTTTCTTTTGTGGGCTCAAAGACATGTAAAAATATGTATGCTTTTTTCTGTCTCATTAATCTCCTTTATGTCAATTTGGTTCTTAGGCCCTGCCAGAGACCTAAGGGGTAGAGATAAAATTCTGTCTGGCCTATACAAGTACTAGGAGAGAAAGGAGAGCAGGGCAGAAGGACAAGAAAAATCTAGAAAACCTGCCTGCCAGATTCATTAACAAGCTTGGAGCAGGAAGGAGAACGAGCCAGCAGCTAGCCAGTAGAAAGCTGGGCCTGAGTTAAAAAGGCTTAACTATAGTTGTGGGCAATAGAGGGCTAAGGGTACAAGCCATATGTAGCCCATAGGAACAGCTTCTGCAAAGGGCTGAAATGATGTGATTTTTAAGTCAGCGGTGATGGGCAGCAGGGTCACACCCTGCACATGCAGAGAGAGGCTCAGAGGCTGACGAACCAAAGCAATTTCCCTCAAGAGCAGCCCTCAGCCCTCTTCAAAGCAGGTGATCTTGCTCTTGACTTTCCTTCTCCCAAATTACAATCTCCCACTCCTGAATTTCAAAATGAGATGGTTGGGTGTTGTGCAAACGAGGGGAGAGCAACAAATTGCAGATGAACAGTGTGTAGGCTGCAGGGCTCCATTTGCTGATTACAGAGGGAGACAGAGACAACAGAAGATGAGGGCACAATTTGCTTGCCTTGCATGAAATGGACTGGAGAAAGCCTCCATCTGATTCTCTCAACCAAACTAATGTGAAGGCAGCCATCACTCTGCAGAGCATCTGTGTGGTGCATATGCATGTGCCTGCATGCCCATCTATATAAGACAAGGGGAACACAGTTTAAACACAATGTCTTCTGCAAGTTATTTGATGTTAGGGATGCCCAAAAATGTATCAAAAAAGCCAGGAGAAAAAGAAAAAGTGTTTGCCTGTCACCATCAAATGACAGTAATGGCTGTGTGCTGTCTTTTTAGTCTGTCAAGTCCTTTGTTGGTTTATTGTACAGCACTTGTATCTGTTTTCGAGCCATTTTTACAAACACTAATCTCATCAATGCCTCAGTGAAAACAAGGGCAAGGGTCTACGGTGAGAAGAAGCATTAAAAAGATGGCAGACAGCACTTCAACCTTACTGTGGGTCTGTGTTCACACAGGTCCCCTTGTTGGACTTGGTAGCTAACAGACTTAGGAACCTCTTTCAGGGCTTATCCTTCTAGAGTAAGTAGAGGGGACTATGTGTAGGAATCTGTAAAGTATCCAGTATGGAATTGAAAAAAATTCAAATGTTTACTTTTGAAGAAAGGGGTGCTGACACCAGTAACCAGTGTTGAGCTGAGGGCCCCAAGCACACACTCAACTTCATTCTGGGCTAGCTAGCACTCTATCTCTTGAACCATGCCTCCAGTCCAGCTTAATTTGTAGTTAACTGAACATAGATGCTCATGTACTTTTCTATCTGGCTGGCTTCAAACCTCAATCCTCTAATCTTGGCTTCCTGAGTAACCACCAGGAATACAGGAATGAGCCACCAGGCACCTGGCTCAAATGTCCACATTTTAAAAACAAACATCAATACAAAGGCATCAGCTGGAAATATCAAAGAGGATTTTCAGACTCCAGCTGCATAATTGAGATGAGAGGAATCAATAATCTATGACAGCCAAGGAGCTAAGGGTTGGCTGTATGCTGCCATCTTTGACAGAAAGTCAAAATATATGGTACACGGGCAAAAAGAGAAGAGCACAGATCAAAGGGAGGGAACGCAGACTCAAAACAAACCACATAAGAGATGGACAAGTGACTTTAAGCAAAGGCAATCCTGTGGAAAAATAGTGGCCTTTTCAAAAAATAAAAAAGGAATAAGTAGCCATGTAAGAAAGAAATTAATTTTAATCCACACCTTGATCCAAATAGAAAAACTGAAAAATTATATTATAATACAAGTGTAAATTAAACATTATAAAACTTCTAA